AGGACATGGTTATGATTTGAAGCAGTTCACAAAAATATGTCTCTCTCATCTTTTTTTTTTAGTTTTTCAAATCCCAAAATTTAACATCATGACAAGAAAATAGAATTTCAGACACATTCAGCAGATTCTCCTTAATCTTGTTTCTTTGCTTTCATTCTGTGATAAGTAACACCATTAGACACAAAACAGCCATGTTGACTAAGAGGAGGCAAACTGGATGGTTAACAATAACGGAGAAGTGGGAGAGGCACCCAGTTAATACACCAAATAAAGAATCGGATTCTGTGAAGTTGAGAATAGTAAAACAGGAAAAACATTTAAAAGGAGGGTCATTATTACCCCCAATTTCTGCTTCACTTTGGTATGCTCATGAATCTCTTCCTTGTTATCCATGTTTTAAAAAATGAGTATCTGGCACTTTTATCTGGTTAATTCAGTCTGATCTTTTGTGTTCCCACTGAACCAGAGCTAATCAAGGGACTGTTCTAAGTTCTCATAACATCCTATGTTAGCATGACAATTTGTTGTGAAGTATGTTATAAAAAATCCCACAATGCCTTGAAGATTGCAGGCATATAAAAATATTAATGAAAATGTATAAGGTCAAAACAATTAAGAGTTCTGCATAATGTGTAGAGCCAGATGCAAGGCAATGGATGGGAAGGTGGAAAGCTCAGCAGAGGTAAAATATACCCCAAATGTTGGATGTTTAGATGATAGTTGCAATATGATCAGTTGTGCTGCCTCGATATCCTGGGAACTGTAGTCCAAATACATGGGGAAGATTGCAGGCTTGGGAAAGAAAGATATTTGTTGCACACCTGTTAAAAGGCTGAAGTGGCATTGGAGGATCCTGCCCAAACTGTAATGTTTTAGAATAGCAAAGGTGGCATGTCCCACTATTTCTGTCTATGTAATTGGATTAAATGCAAGTCCAGAAACATCTCCATTTGGGTCACAATATTGATCAGAACTAAAGTGCACTGGAAAATGTGATTGTCACCCACAAAACAGGGAATACCAAGTAACCCTGAAGGACTCTTGCCACCCAGATGAACTGACACCTCCAACTAGCTGAGTTGAAGGGATGGATAAGTGCAATTTGCTAGACACGTTCAGTTTCTACCATCAAGCGCCTCAACAGATTCGAAATGAAGTGCAAGGGACTAGCTGCCTGCAATACTTCCTTAGGGGGCAAGGGTGGCTTTATCCTTGTTTTCCTTTTCCAGAGGCCTCCCTGCCTATATAAGGAAAGTCCAGCAATGTCTGAACAGGGGAGTTCTGGAAATCCTACTTCATACAAGAATACATTTTTTGGTGATCTATTTACTAAAGCCAATAAGGCTGGCATTATTCTGACAAGTGAGATCTGCCTCTTGCTTGGCAGATGTGCTTTTCACTGCACATAAGGCAGCTGCATTGTACTATAAAAAATATGGCCAACTCATTTCAGTGGGTGAGATTTGTAGGATTTTAGCCATAATAATAATAATAATAATAATAATAATAATAATAATAATAATAATAATAATAATAATAATAATAATAATAATAATAATAATATAAATTCCATCATTGGTGGGGTCACATCACTATAATGTGGTTCAGCAGGATTTGATTTAATGTGCTGGTTGAATTCAGCCATTGTATTTTACTTAGCTATAGTTTTAGGGCTAATATAATCCCAACCTAGACAAATGTTTAGTAAACAAATCAGGGTTGAAATAAATAATTGGATACATTGATAAGTGAACACAGTCAATGGCTTTGTCATAAAACACATCCTTCTTATTTAAATTAATATTACTTTTAAAAACTGCTTTAACTGAAATAGATCCACTCAGGCTATTGATGGAAGCCAGTGTCCCTAGGAATACTCAGGTGCATCACCAAAACATTTATAGTTTGCAAGGCAGGTTTTTCTTATTGATGTGGCTTCCAAAGTCTCTAAGTTTTCTTGCTAGGTCTTTCAACCCGATTACTTGAGATTGAGCACACTGGAAGTACCAGTTTGAAGAAGTGATTCCTGTGGAAGTCAAAACAGCAAATATTTGAGACCAACTATTTATTGCTGGAAACCGCAAATTCCTCCAAAGAGAAAGGAAGAACTGGCCCATTTCAGTCCACGTCTCCTTTTCTGCCTTCCAAGGGCTAAAGACCCCTTACGGAAGACGGAGAGATTTCGAGCACCCAGCTTGTGGCTGAAGTCCCATAAAAAGCGCTGTTTTAGGAAGCAGCCTTCATAACTCTTTAATGCTGAAGTACTCGGTAATAATTTATCGCCCCAAGACTAACTAGCTAATTCATGCCTTAAAAAGTCGAACTGGAAAATGCCTATGGAGATTCTCAATCATCCATGTCATGGTTGTCCCAAAGGTGCTTTTCAAAAGGCAACTGGACTTTCTTGGGTTTTTTCTTGAAAAGGTTTCGCTTTTCATCCAAAGAAGCGAACTGAAGAAGCTTCTTGGATGAAAAGCAAAATGTTTTCAAGAAAAAAAACAAAACAAGAAAGTCCAGTTGCCTTTTGAAATCCACCTTTGGGTCAGAATGGAATATGAAGGGGAGGAGGACAGGTGCGTATCAGTTGCAAGCACAGTTTTAAATCCGTTGGAACCCAAAGCATGAAGCTTAATTGCTGCGTGGACCTCTTTAGCTGCAGCTCGGTTTTCGGGGCAAGAGAAAGTTGTCTACGTTTCCCAGATACTGTACATTACGAGACACGCAGTTCAGGAAAGGCAGGAGCGCTGCTATTCGTTAAAGGTGGCGCAGGGGAAGGGCGGTTGAAAGAAAAGAGAGGGCACCTTCACTTCTTGCGCTGCAAGGCACCGGGCTCACTAACAGCAAGAGAAGCATTTGAGCCAGCTGCAATAGACCCATAGTTAGCATAGGGACAACCCAGGCAGAGAAATTATCCCGGTAACGGTTCTACTTTCAAGCAATGCCGTAATTCTAAAACAGGCAGAGGACCGATCCCAGCAAAATTTATGGAAAGAGAATCCATTAACTGGGCTCTGTAACTCACGATTAACTCAACTGCCGTTTACTCGACTAAGTTTTCTGCGTAAGATATACCAAGTCTTTGTAACACGTCGTGGGCAAAAATAGAGGCGTGTTCTTTTTAAGATTCGGGGTATCCTGAAATCTTTCCAACCACATACATACGATTCCCCTACAATTTAAACGGCGCGTTTTTCTGGTCTCTCCTTGAAAGCCAGTCTGCCGAGTTCATTGGGTTGCTAATTCAAATAAATGTGCAAAGGGTTGCAATTTAAACAATTTGGAATCTAGGACTGGAATTATCTACAACTTTGAAAGTTAGAATCATACCAAGATGGCTTAATTTTTTTTCTTATTTTACTAGATATAAAACGTTTAGCTGTCTTAGAAGTCGCACAGATATGTTCAAAAAATTGATTTAGGAATAAGAACTTTCTATGAAATGAAGATCCATAAAGTGTCTGGTAGTGCAGCAGAAAAAAAATCACATTTTATTTATTATAGTTCGTTTACATAACATGAGTGTTAATCATCCAAGAAGCCTTATTTTGTTTTGTGAGATCATTAAAAATAATTAAAAAGGTGAGGAACAACAGTCTTTCAACAGTCACTCGTTGCATTTTTTCCCCTAATAAGTGAAAGCTATAGTTCAATTGTACTATATTACTTCTAAGTATGCAGGATATGACGGCCAAGCAGTTGGTGGTGGGGATCCATCAAAAAGCCCCGAGTATTTACTGACATGCAGATTCATGAAATCATATAATGCTCCCTTCCCCCTCCTCCCCATCCCCCAAAAAGAACTTTCTGCAAGAGACAATTGAATCCATTTTTTCCTAATTTGAAGCAAAGCTCTGAATATACTGCAGGAAAAGCTTTCATTCCGATTTGAGTAGGAGTCGGGACAAGTTATATTTATACAAGCTGCAACTAACTTAACCGTGGCTAACTAAGCAACACTAACATAACCAGGACTTCGGTAAGACTGACTCCATTCCCCTCTATAGCTAGTTTCTTACAACCTACCCATAGTTGTTCAGTTGGCCTAATATGTGCATTAGTTAGTTCCATAAACCACGGCTAGCATGTGTGTTTGATGCAAAGGGTAGGACGAGGTAGGAAGAAACCCTCCAAAAATTAGGTTCTCAGACTGAAACCTTAGACGTGACTGGGGCACCGTTGATTTCCATGGAAGGAAGATGTATTTTAAATCTTGCCTACGAAATCCCTGCTTTACAATATCGCGGCAAAACCCAGTCTAAATGCGCTTGGTCTGAGCAAGCCGGCGGGGCTGCTTTGCTTGAAGAAGTTGGTCGCTGATGCCTCAGCCAATTTGACCGATCCAAAGGGGGCTTACTTGGAAGCACTTCACAAGAGATAGATGATAGTGAGAAATAGATTGCAGTCTTACTGGGCGGGGGGGGGCACTTAAATGCACTTGATTTTCTGCAAAGCTGCTCCGAAAAAGCAGATTCACCTCTTGCCTTCAATTGCTGGACTTGGCTGACTCGGGTCCAAAACATCTTGCTCCGTGAGCTAGTTTCGTTGCAACCAGAGCCGAGCTGAGGGCGCTCCTGTCCCCGCTCCTTCCCCTCCCCCTCCCTTCCTCTTTCGCTTCCCTCTGGTGGGATCAGGGAGTCCTGACGTGGCCAGGCGCTGATTGGCTGGCAGCCGATAGGATCTAGGCGGCCAACAAATTAAGCCGGAGGAGTTAGGGGGGGCTGCTTGCATTGGCTGCTCCGCTGAGTTGTCTCTGGCGCTCATTGCCGCCAACTCGAACCCACGCTCCGGGTTCAGGGAAAAGATGAGCGCCGCATAACCTGCCCGCCCATCTCCTGCCCGGCTCTCGAGGTTTGCCCCTTCCAGTGCCGCCTTTTCTGCGGGCCGGCTTGGCTCTCCTCCTTTTTGCCTGGGCTGACGACGCACCGTCGCAGGAAAAAGGAGGAGCACTCAGGGAGGGTTTGGCTAGGTTTTGCGATTCTGGGCACCGCGGCCTCGGAGACATGGAGTACACCGTGTCACCCAAACCTCAGCTCTCCTCCCGTGCGAACGCCTTCTCCATCGCGGCGCTCATGTCAAGCGGAAACCCCAAAGAGAAAGAAAACCCCGAGAACACCCTTAAGCCTCTGGGTAAGTCCAGCTTCGGGATAGCCCGGCGTTTGAGGAGGAAGTAACGTGAGGGGGATTTCTGTGGGATCTAGAGGGGTTTGCGGCTGCGGAGCTCGCGGCTTTGACTCAGCAGACGGACGCCAACTGGATTTGGTTGGTAGGTTAACTTTTAAAGAGGGATGGTCAGAACTTATTCTTATCCTAGGGATGTTTGCAGAACTAGCGAACCTGTGACCCTCAAAAAAGATATTGGATTCGCTCCTATTAGACCTAATGACTGGGAATGATGGGCGGACTGGGTTCGGTTTCATCCCGTAATTTAAAATTTCAGATCCCCACCAACAAGCAGAATGTTAACGAGTACCGACCATAGCACAACATTTCCTTAGTAACACCCAAGAGACACAGAGAATCTGTACCTGAAGAATATTGCCTTTTTGAGTGAATTTGTTAAATTCATCTGCCCTTGGTTTTAAATTGTGCTAGGTACACGTAAAAATACGGTACTTCATGTTTAAAGGAAGCATTCAAAGCTGTTATTTGTTTGAGCTTATTAAATCGAAACAACGTTTTTATATTTCAAAATCCAACCGAATTCCAAAACGGAGAAGGGAAACCCTTGCGGGTTCTTTTCCTAAGAGTCGAATTGATGGGGAAATAAGCTTTAATTACCTTATGTAATTACCCTATGCAAAATCACCACGGTTCAGCCGCCAAAGAAAATAGGATGAAAATCTATTTTCTTTGTCCATTTTGTTTGAAGTTCCTGCCTTATAAAATTAGCTAAAGTTCTGCCCCACTGAGACTTGACTGCTTTTTCAATGGAAGGAGAGACTTACTGATCCACACAACCTCCTAGATAGAAATGTACAAGGCTGCAGTAAGGGAGATCATTGACACATTCCCACCCCCCACCCCACCCCCCCCGTAAACATGATATAATGGCACCCATACTTATCTGCAATACATTTTGATGTTCCCACAACTGGTGATGTGGGAACATAGAATGACACTGAAAGTCCCATTTAAATTGGTCTTGTTTCCAAATATGAAGGCACAGGATCAGACCATAATTTGAATAAACAAGTTTTGCCCCCAATCAGTGGCAACAAGCATCCTTGGTTTCAGTAGGACCGATTTTCAGATAATTGCTTGGAACTCCATTTGCGCTCTGTATTGGTGGTGGGGGAACGCAGCTACATAGAACGAATCGGTGCATTTACTAATGTTCAGACAATGGTGCTAAAATAATCGGATTGACTCCGAACTGCAATCAATCCTGGCTGAATTCAAGGGGATTTCTTACCTAATAAACAATTCTCGATTGGAGTTTTAAATTCGCCAGTTAATTGCCAGGTCCTTAAGGTTTTCATTTGGAAATGTCCCCTTGATTTTTAAAAGAAATTGCTGTCAGTCTTGAAACGATGTACAAAATTCAGGATACGAACGTTTAAAGAATGGCTGAAGCTGAATCAGCTGGCGATACTTTTCATAACACAGTCACAAAGTTTAATAGATCCCTGCCCCGATGGATTTCCTAAAGAAAAGCAAAATTTCCTCCAGTTATTTCCTTTAAACATTATTTTCATAATTTTGTTTTGAAAGCTTGCAAAAAAAAAAATAAAGCAAATTTTCTGATACAGCAGCCTCAACACTTTCTTTAGAGTTGTTCACAAACATTGCTGAGCAAAAAAGAAATGCTTCTCTCTTCTGCTTCGTTAGTAACCTTCCTAATCATTAGAGAAAATAATGCATTTTAGAAAAAATTAAAAACATTTTTCAAAGAGAAATAGAAAAAAAACACTTTCTCTCAGTCTTATGTTAAAAAGTGATCAAATAAACTAAACTTATGGGTGAAAAAACATTCCTTTTAATGAACTTTAGAAAATAAAAAAATGTCCTACACTGCCTTTTTAAAATCTTCTTGGAGATGAAGTTTTGGGAAAGTTTTTTTTAATGAAGTTTGAGCTCTGATAAGTGCAGGATAGACAGGAAATATATATATATATATATTAGCTATAAAAGAATGCGATCGCACATCTGTTTTTCTCCCGGTTCGGCTCCTAGAAATGTGAGTTTTTTTCCTTCCATCCCAGTTTTCAAACGAAAAATTAAAGAAACTTCAGAACTGAGTCGCAAAATCCTCATTAGAGCCTTACACAGAGCTGCTTTAATATCCACTACTAGACTTCACACAGGACGACTGGGAAATAAGAGATGGGAGATATTCTGTATCCCGTCCCTGTTGATCTCTGTGTACGAAGTCCTTGAAGAATGAAGGTTCCACAATGTTGTTTCCAAATCTCGTTTGGATCCGTCCAAGCTTCCCTTATCCGGTTAAGCCAAATAGACATTCCAGGCTTTGCCATATTTATTTGATGAGCATAGAGGAAGCTATTTGCCACATTTCTCTAAGGGGCGCCAATGATTTCTGTCCTTCAGATTTGGGTTAAGTGGTTTAGTGGTCCGGTCCAGTTTCTTCCATTACTATAAGGAGTTCTGACTGCTGAATATCTTCTGGGCAGCACACCCATGCAGATGCCGACCCAATGCTAGATTTTATTTAAACTTAATTGCTTGGATTACATGAAGACGTTTTCTAGTGTAACTTCTGGGTTAGAAATGGCTTTCTGCTTTTCAGACTCCACCTGCAGTCTCAATTAAGAAAGATCAACAATTAAGGCTGAGATCCATTAGATTGGTTTGGTAGAGTTCCAGAAAAATGAGCTCGGTTCCTTTATTACCATTAATTTACTTCTGGGACATGAGAATTGTTTTTTGTTCCTGGTAAATAACAGTATGAGAGGAATATAATTTCATGCTGGACTGATTAAGACACGCTGATTTCAGGCTGTCAAAAGTGGATCCTTCGTATGGAGGAATTCCATCGAAAGTAAAATCCTGCACAAATCGATCTGCTCAATAGCAGAGAAGTTCTGTTGATCAGGGAAAATTTCTCCCATTCCTTTCAAAGCCACCCTGCCAATAACTGTCCTGCTTTTGGCGAATCCAGTGATTAGGCGAATTTAGCTTTTATGTGGACTTGGCCATTAAGGCGAATTTCAAACATCTGGAATTGTTGTGGGCTGTTTATTCCCAGGAGCTCCGCCCTGTGAAAACGCAGGATCCTGGGGAATAAACATCGAAACAAATCCGAATAAGCCTTTGGGATTCCAGGAAAATCAGCCCGTCTTCTTTAGTCATTAGTCTGTTTAATCGATGTCACAGCTCTCTAGAAGCCCTTTATAGTGGGCCTAATATTTTGCAGGCACTGGACATTTCCAAATTGCTGTCTGGTGTGCCTCTACTCAGGAAAAAGTCACCTCAGCTAAATTTGTAGAGTGCTGAAAGCTGATTGTGATTTATAGTATCACCCAACCATTGCGGCCAGTTAAAGTTGTAAATCACACATGAGAAAATGCCGACGATTGTCTTGCTCATTTCACTCATTAGTTTCTCTGATTCCCATGACTTGGAAACCAACGCACCTCATCTAATGTGTTTACACGGCATGGATCCCATTAGTCCAGGAGCCACTCCCCCCCCCTTCTCCTGCAGCATCCCCTTTTCAGATCCTTGCTGTCCTTGGGAGAGACTGGGAGAGATTTCTAGTTTTAAAGTGACATTCATCTGAGGACTAGATGGTTTCTGGCAGCTTTGAGCTAGGTGGACTGCCTTCTAGGCATCTTGATAATTGTTGGAGTGATGGAGTTTTTTTGCTCTCTCCACTCCACCCCCATACTTAATAAACAATCTCCCCAATTCTTTTTCTATTTTTTTTTCTTTTAATTGAATGTGTAGCCTGCCCTTCCTCCAGGGAGCTCAAGGTTGTCTCTGTTTTCTTTTTATCTGGACAATTCCAAAAGATTGGGCTAAAAATTTCTGGGTCAGTTTCTGGGATTCTTCATAGAACCCAAGATTTGAATCTGGATTTCTCCAGACTTGATCCTTCACTTTAACCACTATTTCATACAGCCTCCTCTTCCTAATGAGAGGAAAATCAGATCAAAGTAAAATTAAGTAAGGGTTTCATGAGTTCATTTTGACTGGAAGGTTGTGTGTCTGCAATTATTTTGCACAAGGCTCATTCATCTATATTAATTCTGGATTTTCCTTTAACAACTTAAAGTACTGGGCAGCATTTTCCATTCTGCTTTTCTTCTAACAATCTTGCAAGTAGATTCGTGCAAAATCAGCAGCTAGTGGGTTGTACGAACCTGCTCACCTTGGTTTGTTTATGATTGAGCAGAGTTTCCAGAAAACTGGAATCAAGTGAGTCAAGAATGGTTAAGTTGCCTGTGATCAAGCCTCTTCTACAAGCAGCAACTTTTGCAGGGAAGTGGCCACACATTTAACACTGCAATCTGCACCACACATTGGAATTAAATGTCATTGTGGTCACTGACCTCTAGAAAATGTGTTTAAAATAACACCATAAATATACCTCTGAAATCTGAAGTTAAGGTTGGGCTGGTGACAGGGATGTCTTTGCCTGTAAAACCACCAGCGGAATAAACCAGACTTGTAATATATTTCCCAAAGGTTTCCTAAAGACAAATCCCAATGAAATCAATGGGATTTCTGACCAAGATTCTGGGAATTCCCAAAATATTATTTAACATCAGCAGCACTCCCATTCTCCATCAATAATGGATCAGTGATGGCTTATTTTCACTTTTCAGTTGTTTCCCATAAGCGAAGTGGCTGCACACTGCAACTGGCTATGTGTGATCTAAAATTCTTCTTAGCAATTCATGTAAAAAAATCTTTTTTTCCTCCTTCAAAAGAATTGAAATTAAGGACATGTACAACAGCCATTTTCCCTGTTGGAATGATTCTGACCTCCCAACATTTTATAAGGTGCTCAGATTGCTCTAGAATTTTGTTACTGAATGCTGACTCAAGTAAATGCTCCTTTGTTTAATTAACAAGTACCTCTACAAGTAGAAAACTGGATATAGTAGCTGCTCTGACAGTCTAGTTTTCTCTATGCAAGGGTAAAAACCAACCAGGAATTGCATATACCTGTGAATGCTTCTACCTAAACAGTTAGTTCCTGGATTTTCTGCCAGATTTTGCCTTTTGAACTTTTCAACTGGAGGCTGGGGATGGAGATAATCACAAATCCTTCTATTCACTGGTATTGGCACTTTGCCATTCAGGGGAATACTGTAAATTGGCCTGTTCTGAAGAAAGGGGCAGCATTTTTTTTATAATTTATAACTGATTATAAATGTAAATATATTTGGAGAAGAGGCTCATTTTCTTCTAAATTAAAATCTTGCAAAATCAACAAGATTGAAAATGAGAAGCAGAACCTCCTCCCCCCCCCATGACATCTTTCTTTTTTTTCTCCCCTTCCCACCCCTTTCCAGTATGGTTGATTCCCATTGTAAGAAGAAAGGTGTGTTAGGGGAAAAAATCAGTAGTTTGGAAGTACCTTTTCCGACTAACAAATTTTATTAAAAGCCAAGTTTACAAAGGCTACTGTGATTATCAGACATTGGAGTGGATTTATTGCCTTAAAATGATTAGTTTGGGTCCTTTTGTTTCATTTTCTGCAGAAGGTTACCGCAAATCCATTTCTTTTAGTTGTGGAGATTCTAACCTAAAATTCGGGAGCACTGAATTTCTTCTGGAGTTCCAGCACTCAGCTTTTCGAAAAGATTGTTAATGGTTTCCCTTAAGGGAGAAAAGGGGAGGGGGTGATGAACTATATCCAAAGTTGAAGCATCATTTCTCCATCAAAAGGAATTCATTTTAGAATTTGTCAATTTCATTTCTGGGCTTTGAAAGTCTTTTCCCAAAGCTTGTGAGTTTCACGTCTAGTTTTGGGCTTGCTATTGGAATCAGTCAGCTTCATTTCTGATTAATTTAGCCACCTTTGGGACTATTTGCTTTGGCTTTATTTAATTAAGAAGATGAACTTCCCTTCCATGGAGCTTGACTCAAGGGGACTCCATGGGTGGGCAGGTTCCATGGGAGCATATTGCCATTGGTTTCTTATAGTAGTTTTGGTCAATTTCACAGTCTAGCCTACAGCTCTGGGACTGCAGCTTTACGTGCACCCAGCCAGATCTGCTACTTGCAACCATTCCACACACAAAACCATGGCTGATCTTCTCACCAGCCTCTTGCTTTTCTTTTCGTCCTCTTTTCAGAGCAATTTGTGGAGAAATCATCTTGTTCTCAGCCTCTGAGTGATTTGCCAAACTTGGACACCCATGGGGATTTCAGCAGCAGTAGCAGCCCTTCCTCTCTCTGCACAGAGCCACTAATCCCCACCACCCCAGTTATCCCTAGTGAAGAGATGGCTAAGATCTCCTGCAGTTTGGAAACCAAAGAGCTTTGGGACAAATTCCATGAACTAGGGACTGAGATGATAATCACAAAATCAGGAAGGTAAGCCTGGGATATTGTTTGGCAGGGTTTGGGGCATCTTACCCACAGCTGATACCATTCAGATGTGTGAATAATTTTCTAGAATTGTTTAGCAAAAGTGACAATTGCTGAGATTTCTGGAATTTGTAGTTTTAGCACAGCTTCAACTAGGTCAGGCTGATATACAATAAACAGTGTGTTCTGTTTATTTCTCTGTTTGCCCTGAGACCATGGAATATGCTGCCGCAGAGCTATGTTTAAGCCTCTCACTCTAAGCATTCAGAAGAGCACTGCTTTTTTTGTTTTAGTAATTGGGCCTCTGATAGTATCAAGCAGCTCAGTTGTTTTTATAATGACCTTGATCTGTACGCTGCATGGAGTCATGTATTTGAAACAGTAAAAATATAGGAATAAATACATTTTTTTAAAAAAAGCATTGTTATCTAGTTCCCAGGAGCAGCACACTCAGATACGTATCAGGCACATGGCTAGAGGAAGTCAGCTTTGAGTTGAATTTTAATTAAAATTGGATTGACTTGACTTTATGGAAGAAAACATTTGCTGAGTTAGTTTAAAATGGGTAAATTGTCTATGAACAAGCCTGGAAGGGAAGCCAGATAAACATCCAGTCTGTGCTAGAAATCTTGTCAGACAATAAAGTGGTGCTGATTTGTTCACTGTGTCATTGCTTTATTACACCACAGCACTGAGTGACACACAGCTGAATGGATGAATTGCCACCCACAGAAAAGTGTTGCATTTGAAGTGTTGTCAGATAACATGATTTTTTTGGTCTGTTTTTGATCTATGATGGGTGTTTCACACAAGCACTAATAGTCAGTTGATGTCAAAGTCTCACAGTGATAAATATACATTGGACATTTGCCCTTATAACCCATAGCAGTCTCTGAAAAGTTACTGTCTCTCATTAATGTATAATGCAAGCCATCAGAAACTGTCTCACACTATTTTATGTTTCAATTTGAGGAGATATACTACATTGGTATATTAATATGTACTGCAAATCTTCACTTGAATTTTTATTTGGGGTAAAATAAAAATTAATAAGAGATTGGAAGTAGAAAAGCACATTTCAATGAAAGCATTAGAGTGACTAGAATAAAAATCTTTGTAAAACAAGCCATAATTTTAATGGAACAAATCTAATTTATTAATTAGATTGAACCCTTGTAAAATGAGGAAGGTGATATATATATATAGAATTTTACCAGAAACAATTTTCAGAGAAGAAGCTACTTTTAATGTCTTGCAATCATAGAGAATTGAGACATTTTTGAAGACCGAAACAGCCATCCCAGACCTTAGACAGGTTGACCTATTAATCCTCTCAGCCTCAACTGGTGAGTTGATAATAAAAACCTGTTGCTTTTAGATTAAATAAATATGTTATCTGTGGATGATAGTAATTATGGTTCAATACATACTGTATTTGCAACTAGAAAAGCCAATATTTCACTTTGGAAAAATTAATTCATCAGAGTCTAGAAGCCTCTCTACTCTGCATAGAATCATATCCAAAATGTTAATTAAATATTGGTGCATACCAGAGACTCTGCCACACTGCTACTGTGCCAATATTTTTATCATTCTCCCCCTCCAATCTGCACATAAATTGAACAGTTTTGACATTGTTTAGGCCAAATGTATAACATTGTAAAAGGAATAATCACTAGTTTTGTTAGATTGTTTTCTTGCATCTGCTTCATATAGGAGCCTCATTCAGAGCTAAAAGAAATTTGCAGGACAACTTAATATACTTGTTTATTTCTCACTAGATTGTCTGCATCAGCTTAATCTGTAACCTTGCTGAGTAGCTAAACATTAGCCTAGGTATTAAATATGATGGTAAAACTATAAGGATTACTTTCATTATCATGGCCTTCGAGAAAAACAACCAAAACGGATTTCTATCAAAGAGATAAATAAAAAATAGTTTAAGAATTATAATGGACATATTGGAATATTATGAAATCCATCCAGGGAAACAATTGGCATTAGTATTTCTAGATGCTCAAAACACATTTGATAATGTTTCCTGGCAATTTATGACTCAACAACTAAAAATAATGGACTTTGGACAAAATTTTATAAATATGATTACAACAATATATCACAAATAAACAGTAAAAGTGATTGTAAATGGAAATTATACATAGAATTTCAACATAAGAAAAGGCACAAGACAAGGATGTCCTCTATCTCCATTGTTATTTATTTTAACTTTGGAAGTTCTAAATAATAATATTAGACAAGACCCAGAAATTAAAGAACTAGAAATAAAAGGTGAAACTTATAAATTGCAAGCATTTGCAGATGACTTGGTATTCATCCTAGAGGAGCCTTTAGAGATGATTCCTAAATTATTGGAAAAGATAGAAAAGTTTGGAGAGATAGCAGGAATGAAGAGAAACAGAAAAAAACCTAAAGTGATAGTTAAAAGTCTTACAGATAAACAAACAAACAAAAAATAGTGTCAGAAAAAATAGAATTATAAATAGTCAAAAAAGTTAAATATTTGGGGATATACCTGACAGCAAGATGTTCAACGATAAAAGAAAATAACTATATAAAACTACTGAATCAAAACTTGACTTGGAAAAATGGAAAAACTTGTAACTATCGATGTTAGAAAGAATTGCTACGGTGAAAAAGAATATATTACCAAAAATATTGTTTCTATTTCAAACGATACCTATAAAACTGAAAAAGAAATTCTTTGAAGACTTAAATTTTCTAATTTTAAAATTTATTTTGCAAGGAAAGAAAGCTAGAATTAAATTGAAAATGTTACAAGAAGCTAAGGAAAATGGAAGTTTTGGCTTGCCAGCGTGGGTTTTATATTATCAAGCATCAGTACTAACATGGGTAAAAGAATGGATAACTCTTAGAAATAAAAGGTTGTTGTATTTGGAGGGACATGATTTACAACTCATACTTTCTTATGGTATGAGAAAAATAAAATTCATAGATATTTTCAAAACCACTATATTAAAAATGCATTATTTTTTACATGGCAAAAAATAAAATGTAAAATATACTTGAAAATTCCAGCATAGCTCTCAAAAATGGAAGCATTTGTACATCCAAATTTAGTTAGTCTTGAGAAAATATGGATATATAAAGATATTCTGAACTCTGAAGAGAACTTAAAATCTATGGAAAATCGGGGTATTGATTTATCATGGTGGGCATATTTACAAATGCAAGTTAGATATGATTGATTTATCATGGTGGGCATATTTACAAATGCAAGTTAGATATGACAAAGATATTAAACTATACGGATTTTATAAGGAGAAGACCTTGTTGATTAGATATTATTAACCACTGATGAGAAATTAATTAAGAAAATGTATAACTTTTTATTGAATTTGAAAATGGAAAATGAACAAGTAAAAGAAACAATGATAATGTGGGTAAAGAATTTTGGATACCATTTAGATTTAGAGAAATGGCAAAATTTATGGGAAAGAAATTATAAATTGACAATGTCAACCTCTTACAAAGAAAACTTATATAAAATGTTTTATAGATGGCATTTGCCACCAGCAAGACTAGCAAAATTATTTAAAAATTTCAGATAGATGTTGGAAATGTAATCACAAGTCAGGTACATGTTATCATGTATGATGGACATGTGTTAAAGCAAAGAGATATTGGACAAAAATATATACTTGGCTAGAAAAGATGTTGGGAAAACATGTAGATTTTAAACTGAACTTTTTTTATTAGGTATAATGCCAGAAAAGCTTAACAAACAAAGTATATACTTGATTTTACATATGATAACAGTGGCAAGAATCATATTCGCACAATATTGGAAAAATGAAGAAATACCACCAGAGGAAGAAATAATTAAAAAAATACTAGATTGTGCAGAAATGGAAAGACCTACTTTGAGGTTGAAAGAAAAAGAAACAGAATATTTTCAAATTTGGGGACTTATTTTATCAATGGCTGGAGAAAAGAATAAGGGATTAGGAATTCAGTTTGTACTAGTGAATGATATAATCAGACAACACGATTTTTGAATAAGTACTTTTGAATTATATTAAAAATCAATAAAAACTTTAAAAAAAAGAAATTTGCAGGACAACTTAATATATTTGTTTATGTCTCACTAGATTGTCTGCATCAGCTTAATCTGTAACCCTGCTGAGTAACTAAATATTGCCCTAGGTCTTAAATATGATGGTAAAACTATAAGGATTATTTTCATTATCGTGACCTTCGAGAAAAAACAACCAAACAATCCAGTCTAAATTATGGGAGAACAGAGTCATTCTGGTTCTTGGCTCTGTTATTTTCATGCTGCTTTATGGTACAGTCATTCTTGCAAATCAGTGGGACTGACTAAAGAAAGGCAATCTAAGTACTTTACCCGATCTTATTAATACCCCATTATTTTCCTCCATGGGTTCAGAATAATGACTAATTATTTCCTTGTCATTTTATTCTCACAATGAGTCTCTTGTAATCAGTTTCCTGATGTTTAATACTGGTAGGGGAAAACTGTCTGCTTTAAAAAAACATTTATAGTAGTCATTAAGCCACACTAAATTAAAGGTGTAAATTAGATGCAAATGGAAAAGATTTACTTGTTTTTTAAAAAAAAACATTGGGAGGACATTGCTTGAAAGATTCTTGTAAAATATACTGGCATCACATCCAAACCTAACCTTGGTCAAAAGTTGTTTGAGACGAATACACCAATTTTTAGATAATTATGAATGTTCTTCACAGAAATGTCTGCCAGACATTCTTTTAGTCTGCAAGAGTCACAAGGCATGTTGGCACTGCCAACTGTAAAGGCATAATTCATAATAGACATAAGAACTCAAGGAAGCCTAAAAGTTAATTAATGAAAAAGGAAGATAAAGAAATGGGGTGCGTTGAATTGTCACCCTAATCATTAACAGCATTGGACTTTATTTGCTATGACATCAACTTTAATAGTTTGGATTGTACTTCATCAATGCATTGAATGATGCAGAGTGTGGAATAGAGAATTGTATTTAATGACATCAAGTTGAAATTGCAGATATTGGTAGTTACCTTACTAAGGTAGAGATAAAGATTTCCTGGTACTCATCTCAATTTCTTAGTCAGCATTATCTGAAGACATTTTCCATGGTGATGTGGCCAGCCTGGCTATATAAAATGCTGTTATCTTCCATCTTTTTTCTCCTTTTTTCAAATACATCTAGTGCAAATTAGCTGACTTCCCTCCACCTCCTGAAAATTTCCCTTTTATTTCTGAAGTGGATTACTGGCACAAGATTGTTTCTCATATGTGTGCAGTACAGAGAAAATAATTATTTGCTTCAGATGTCATGGAAGCTCAAATGGCTAAAGCTTCTGCAATTTATCCAAGGTCCAGAGTTATAACTATTTCTGTATTGTAAAATTAGATGTGTAATGAAATGCATCTGATCTCAGTGTTAGGTTCTAAACCCACAAGTTGTCTCCCAACAAAATCACTCTCTGTATATTCAGTTGATTATTATAATATTCCTTTTTTAAAAAAGGCTGTAATTCTTGAGAATCCTCATTGTCTTCTGAGATGTTTACCTGCCTTCCTTCCTTTCCTTTTGTGCAGTTTCCTTCAGCAGGGCAGGAAGAAACAAAGGCAGACATATATGCCAATTATAACACAGTTTGATCCCATTCTCTTTATATGAGTTCCAAATGTTTACAAGAATGGGGTGCTTTCAGGCGATATGGCTTATTTTAAAAAATCCCCAAACACAAAGATTACCTCCCTCCCTCCCCCCCTCACTCTGATGGCCATGCTGCAAGGCTGTTTTTTCTTAAATCAGTTGTGAGAGGATTCTCTTATTCTTTTTTTCATTGTGTTTTTTCTGTTTCAGAAGGATGTTTCCAACCATTAGGGTCTCCTTTTCTGGCGTGGATCCAGAAGCCAAGTTCATTGTGCTCATGGATATAGTTCCAGTGGACAATAAGAGATACAGATATGCCTACCATAGATCTTCCTGGCTGGTTGCTGGCAAAGCAGACCCCCCTCTGCCTGCAAGGTTAGTTCATCTGAAAATAATGTACTGTATATGCATGCAGACACTTGTGCACGCATACACACCTCTGCTATTAATAGTTTCTTTGGTTTTTAGAAAAATTACAGCAGGAGATAAATAAACAGAAAAATGTTTATGGATAAAAAATGTGTTTCTACTGACACAGAAGCAGTATATACTTTTCTGTCACTCTTCATTCATTGAAATGCTTAAAATCTCTAGGCATAAGTTAATCTAACAAAAGGCCTATGTCTAATATGAAACTGATGTAACCCATTGTTCAACTATTCAGTCCTTTTCTTAATATTTTTGTTGTATTGTAATATGTGACTTATTTTTCAGGAGGAAAAATAATAAATGCTGGTTTTTTCTAGATATCTTTCAGATCACACGTTTTGGTTATTTTATTTCCGTTATTTTTCCATCTCCACTGAGAAGCACACCTGAAAAGCTGTTACTTATGTCCCTTTACTATGGAATAACCTTTATTGAACAAGGCAGGATCCATTGTGAAGAAAGTTGCAAGGAACAAAATGTATTTCATAAATATTGAAATCTTAAGAAACTGTTTACATTTGCTTCCAGTCTTTGGAGCTGCATCTGTGACAGGTTCCATCATAACCATTATATAGATAAAATTGTTTTTGTATGCATGGTTTGGGGGGAAAAAATCTTAGAAATAGTGCTTTTGGATTGTTCTCTGATTGCACTAGCCTTGACCATTTTTAGTGTGATGGGTTTGTCCCTTTTCCAACTTGAGCTTATTGCAGATTAAACTGAAAATCTCAGTGGTTTAAATTGAAAAAAATAAGTTAGACTCTATCCTTAAGCTTTGGCAATTTTGAATTTGCCTTTTCATGATCACCATCTGTGTTCTGAAACTTTGATTCTAAAGCTCTTACTTCCAAATGTATTTTTTGAAATAGTGGTGATTGTGGTTTGCAAGTTGGTGAAATTAAATTCATCTGTTGATCTCAGAAGGACCTGTACATTCATTTCTTCTATAAGGGGCACTCAGAAAGAAAGAAAAAGTCACAGGTGTAGGTAAGCTTTGGTGACATTCATACCCTCGAGCATTCTCTGCACCATCTATAGAGAAATAACTTTCAGCACTACAACTGCCAACTCTGTAATGAATAAGGATTATCCAGCATCATTTGAAAGCATTCCCATTCATAACGCTTCATCACAGATGACCATTAAATCCTTCTTTTCCTGCTGTCAACATGTGAAACAACTTTGTCTGTGTGTACAGTATGCTGTGCAGGCACAAGGTTAACATTCCTTCAGGGAAAACAAATCTATTGTGAGTCATTGCTTAAATAGCCTTATTAACCCAGCCAAAAGTCTGAAAGATGTACCATCTTTAGGATACTAACTTGCTGGTATCTCTTCTATCTTTTGTGAGGTTTTGTGTTGTAGCTTGAATGCAAGTTCAGAATGTTTACTTTTTCCTAGAAGGAAAGAAACAATCCATTGCTTTTGACAATCCATGATAAGAATGCTGTACAAATTGAGCTACTGCTCTAACAAACAATTATTAGTCAATGGGGGGGAGGGGGGAGACAATCACTATACCTTATTCTTCTTGTTGTTTATGCACTGACTATACAGGTAGTCCTTGACTTACAACCACAACTGAGCCCAAAATTTCCATTGCTAAGCAAGACAGTTTTTGAGTAAGTTGTGCTCCATCTTATAACTTTTTTGCCATAATTAAGTGAATAATTGAAATTAAGTGAATCTCATGGTTGTTAAGCAAACTGACTTTGCTTGTAGAAGCTCCCTAAGAATATTGCAGATGATAGCCCTGGGACCCTGGGATGCTGCAATGTGATAAATACATGCTGGTTGCCAAGCACCTAAAGTTTGGTAACATGACTGTGGGAATGCTGCAAGAGTCATAAACGTGAAAAGTGGTAATGAGTCACTTTTTTCAGTGCTGTTGTAACTTTGAATGTTCATTAAATGAATACTTGTAAGTTGAGGACTATCTGCACCGCCTGTGGTTCTTGCTAGCTCAGCATCCACCCTGCCATTTATATCCAGCTTTTCTTCCAATGAATGCAAGACCACATTCATGGTTACCCCCAATTTGATCTTCATAAAAACCTATGTGGGCTGGAGCAAAAGTAAACGTTATGGGCTGAGTTTTGTCTTTTTTCAGCGCTTCAACCTATTTTTCCAAGGGTGACTATAGTTCATAATTGGAAGGCATCTGGAGAAGGCCACTTTAATTCCTGCATCTCAATGGAAAATGCTTATGTGACCTATGTGTTGTTATTTCAAGCTCGGTCAGAATAGCTTCAGGGAGAGAGAAACAGTGTAGTCTATTTGGACAAAAAGATAGCGGAGAGCACACTTCATATACGGAAACATTAAGCATTCATGAAGAGATAAAAATATGTCTGAGCCTTTCTAAATAATAGCCTTAAATAGAAACATTTATTTGTGATGAGACCAGTAGATGAAGTACTTGGTGGGTCTGTTTTATGTTGGTCATATTTATTTAGAATTTCCTGTTGATTTCAGTGGAATTCACTGGAGGTTGCTGCTCTGCAGCTTAGTTTTATCCACAGTGTGTTTGTAAGTAAGCCATGCTGTGTCCTTATTCATACAGGGATATGGATCTAGAATTTTTCCAGAGCAAAAATATGGAATGAAGTGTTTTCTATACCTTGAGAGGATCAAAACTATGCAAGTAGAAAATATTATATTCTTTTGCTTCATGAACCCTGTTGCAATTTACATTATTTCTTTTGGCTGAAAAAAATTGTACTTCATGCCAGAAAAGCCACCTTTCAATCAGGATCATAAGAAGCAGTGGTATTTGGTTTCATAATATTTTTATGAATAATAATGCATTGATATTTTACTGTAAATGTTTTACTTTATGTAGGCTTTAAATCAATATTTTTGAAATGCAAAGTGCCAGGAGTCCATTGTGAATCTGATGTATCAATCACTGTTCAGATTGCTGGTAAAAGAAGCCTTCTTGGATCATCTAATATGAAATTATTCTATTATCATTTTATGAGATTGATGCATGAAAAGCCAGAGAATTTATGTCTTAATAATCAAATTAATGGAAAAAAATAGTAGAATTATAACACAGTCAGATAACTGGTTCCTCTAGCTTAGTGCTAGATTTCTGTATACTGCTAGATTTCCAGATTCATAACGGGAATCTTTCCTGGAGTTTTACTCTGAGTTTCCTGAGGTCATCTTTGGCATCTTGAGCATAACAAGAATGTGCTTTAACACTGAGAGATGGTTGTAATCATTGTTGGAAATACGTATGTTGGAGGGAAATGTCTTTGATTTCATCGAACACAGGTAACTTCCCCTCTTTCTAAGCTGTAATATCAGCATACTGTTATTTAAGATTTTTTTTTAAGTCTCCATCTACCCTTTCCCCCCCCCATGCAATTCCAAGTAAGAAACTAGTATTTCCTATCCAGTTTAGACAAATCATCACTTGAAATTGTTAAAGGATTAGGAAAGATGAGTCACAAAGGAAAAGAATAAGAAAAAAATAATATTCAGAATGAAAAAAACAAAGAGTCAATTTTCAGAAAACTGTGTTGTTGTTCGTCCATCGATTTAGATGAAGACTGTGACATCTTATGGATTATGGGCCATCAGCAGTGTGTCCGTAGATGGCTGATGAGACCGATGTTAGCACGGAATGTTCTGCCACATACTGAACAGAGAAATGTGTTCAGAAAACTAAACTTATAATAATAATAATAATAATAATAATAATAATAATAATAATAATAATAATAATAATAATAATAATAATAAGTTCTTTTTTATTTAGTTCATTTGTTTGGAGCAAATATCTTGCAAAATCCTATGACAAAACCTGTTCCTCTACTTCTAACAAGTTCTTCATCTTAAATTTAGATTTATATCTGTTCTTTGGCTATTTTTTCCCTTTTATGTGGATTTAAGAGAAGAGTCTAAATATAGTTAGGGAAACTGAACTAAAGTTTTGAGGATGATGGCTACTAGTTTAAGTGCTGATATTTTATGAAAAGCATCTGTCTATCTTTCTGTCGCTCTATCTGCTTGCTGGGCCTTGATGAGCTTTGTTATTTGGCTTCCCAGGCTGTATGTGCATCCAGATTCTCCATTTACTGGAGAACAATTGCTGAAGCAGATGGTATCCTTTGAAAAAGTGAAACTCACCAACAATGAGCTGGATCAGCACGGTCATGTGAGTACTTGGTCCTGTGAGAACAAAAAACAATGCTACACCTCAGGCTCCTTCTGCCACACTGTTGGAAATGCCAAAATCACCACAATAGTTGTTCCTGTAATTATTAAGTAAACTTTAAAAGTTGTGAAATTTCATGAACTGAGAGAAGAGGATGGGGCAGGATATAACAGGATCTTATACCACAGAAAATATTTTAGTATTTATTCTGCTCTGAAAGCCATTTTTAGACCATCTGTAACAATTAACTGTTAATTATTTAAGAATTTCTGTCCTGAAAGTTTTTTCCTACCTTCTTTTTGTTTGATCTGTTTTGAAAAGCAATAAAACAAGTTTAAATGTTGGAACCTGCAATTATGCAAAACTTGCAAATGCAACCTGTATTTAGCCCACTCTCTTGGATGATAGAAGCAGGAAAGTATTAGATGTCTAGGGATATTATTAAATAATAATATTACATTCATTGGAGTTTCCATGTTTGATGAAACTCAGTCATAGTTGTCTTAATCCTGCCACATACTGGAGCATGTCCCTCAGCATGCCATGTGTGACTCTTAGCCAAAAGCCTTTTGCATCACCGATGTAAAATGTCAATCTCCATATTTAAATTTAGGATAAATGCTGTATGTTTGGCTGTCTCAAGACCAAATATGAAGAAATGTGAATTGCCTTGTTATTTATTTCAATGGGAACTTAAGTATAAATAATCTTACTCTTTGTTTGGAAGCTATGTGACACTAGTAACTTCCAAAATCCTGCTGGGAATCTGGTTAAGTGACAAAAACTAAGGAGGAAAACCATGTTGGCTTTTATCTGCCCCCATTTTAAAACCTTTAACATCCTTCCTCTTACCGAACCTCATGGAGTGGAATTAATTTGTGGCAACTGGCATATGGTAGAAGTGAGCCTAGGACAAAAACCGGAAGCCAACTGATGCATGGTTTCTTCTGATAGTAGCCAGGAATCTAGCGTGTCTTCTTTGTCCTCTTCTGGTATAGCAGTTTTTATGAATGAGACAATATAATTTGCTGATTGAAAATGATTCTGATTATGCTTTCTCTCCTTATCCCCACTAGATAATATTGAATTCAATGCACAAATATCAACCTAGAGTGCATATCATCAAAAAGAAGGATCATACAGCTTCCTTGCTTAACTTGAAATCTGAAGAATTCAGGACATTTATATTTCCAGAGACAGTGTTTACAGCTGTCACTGCCTATCAAAACCAACTGGTGAGTCTTTTCACCCAATTCACTAAGTATTGTCAATGTTGTTCTTTTGTAAATTTTACCTGACTGAAATACAAAAAGGAGCTGGATGATACAAACATTCTCAGAGTGGGGCAGAAAAGACAAAATGATCTATTTTCCTTTAACTACATATAAGCAAAACATCTGACTGGGATCTAATTTAATTTTTAAAAGACTTGAGTAGAGTCTAGCTTAGCTCTTTCTCTTCTTGGCCCTGTGCAGAGTTTCAGTTCTGAGGGTCAGAACTGGCAGTATTAATATTTTTCAAAAAATTATTATTGGCAAGGCCTTGCCTCCGAATATGCTACTCAGTTCAATCAGAACATATATCAATTTCCTATGTAAAAAAATAACTCCCCTCTCTATATTTTCAGTAATATTTGGGGACAGATCTTTGTCTAGGCAACTGATATAGATCTCTTACACAAATTTGGAACATGTATCAGATTTGGATAATCTGGGTATTTTTTTCTTCAGAATTAAAATTGAGATTCTTCTTCAGTCTGCTATTGCAATTAACTAACATAAGGTGATTATGAATGTTAACATAAAACATTGATCATAACAAAGCCAGCTGAGAAAGAGAATAGAGGCTCATCCTCAGAAAGTTATGTGTTTCAGCCCTCAGAGTTCCTAACCACCTTGGTCTGGAGCATGTATGCATACACATGTGCTCATGCTAACAACACCATTTCTGCCAATTCTATGATACAAGGAAAAGGACTAGTTTATAAAAACCAGCATGTTACTGTGTTGACTGGAAAGGTTGCTTCTGATTACATGACATAATTATTTACTTTCAAAGATTCCTGCTGTAATATTCCTGGATCCCTTTTGAATTATTCTCTTCCAATCAAGTGACATATATTATTACTCAATTAATTGGACTAAAATTGAAAACTAGAAACAACTTTATTAGGAAAATTGCAGGAACAGGCTGGGGGAGCACAAGCCAAAACATTACCACTATACAATCATTAGTATACTCTATTGCTGAATACTGCATAACTATGTGGGGAAGAAATTGTCATATAAACAAAACTGACATTTGCTTTAATGATGCAATGAGAATAATATCTGGAACCCTTAAACCCTTCATGGCTCCACGTTCTTTCTAATTTTGCCTCTCCCGATCTCAGATGACAAACAACAAAGAGTTCAAGAATGGAATAAGATAAATAACCCATCAACTCTTAGAGATCTTCCAGTATATAAAATATTAGACTATCTCTCACTAGGCTTAAATTTAGGAAACCAGTTTTGAATAACATATCACAGTCTTACAATCTAGATGAAAAATGGCAATTAAAATGGGTGACTTTTAATAATCACAACCAAACAGATCACACAGATCCACCAAAATCACTTCTAGGAATGCAGCTCCCTGAAAAATGTGGAGCCACTGAATAGAATCAGGACAGGCCATGCCAGAAATAGGGCAAAGCTCTTTAAGTGGCCAAGAGCCCACAATATGACTCTCGGAACAAACGATAAAAATATATAGCTCTAGAATGTCTACTCAAGGAATTTCAAGGCACATGGGATAATCTCATTGCAGTCACATTAGTCACATAACATCCATCCCATTGCAATTCTATGGCTCCATATTATGGTGATTTTATTATGATTTTATCTTAATTTATTATCTCTATTGTCTACATATCACACACACACACACACACACACACACATACAATATGTTGGTATATATTTGCTAATGCTTTATTTAAACTATATTTTGTATATCAGTGATTGCATGACTTCTGTAGATGCCATACACTAAATAAAATAAATAAATAAATGAGACATATCAGATTAGTAACTACTGTGAAACACACTATAGTAGATAAAATCTACTAAAGAAAGTTTTAACATGCATTAACAGAGAAATGGAAATTTGTAGTCCTCTTAATTTTGTTGTAATGTAACTCTTATCAACACTTACCTTGGCTCTCAAGTTGCCATACATTACTTAAAACTAAATGTTTTTTTAGTACTAGATTGAAGAATGCGCCACCAATTGCAATTTGAAACACACATTTTTTAAAAAATATCAGTTCGTCAGAGACGTACATTTTCTCAATGGGATGTTGGATCTGCAACTCTCAGGACTCTTAACTAGCTGGTAGGGAAATTAAACAGTTACAGCCCTTACACATTTAGATATTGCCCAGTTGTTGATTGATACTGCAGAACACAATGTTGAAATGCATGTAATATATAGTTTTGTTTCAAATAACAGTTTACAGTAAGGATAAAAATCAGAGCTGCCTTATAGTAATATTATTATGGATTATTGCACAATCAGTCTGATGTTTAGACTGGATTTGGCATTTTTATCCACCTTCAAACCAGTTTTTGATTCTTGATGACTGCCTGGACAAGACTGCAGATTCTTGGCAAGATTTTTCAGGAGTGGTTTGCTTTCTTCCTACCATAGGACTGAGAAAAAGTGACTGACCCAAGGTCACCCAGGTGGCTTCATGCCTAGGATGGAAGTAAAACTCACTGTCTCCTGAACTTTAACCTGGCACCTCAACTATCAGCCCAAACTCTCACATATTTCATTATGCTCCTCAGAAGACCAGCCTAAGGCACAAAGGGTAGAATTTTAAAGATTTGCTGGGCAGCCACCACGTTCATTTGATGTAACTCATTATCTCTGAGTGTGCTTCCACACTGCAATTGTTTCATCTCTCTCTCCCCCCCCCCAATAGCATAATGAAGCTGATTAGTAGTCACCGAGAACATTGAAGTATTCCTTCCATGTGTTCAATATAAAAAATTGTAACCAGTATCTAGTGCCAAATTATTGCCATCCAGTAGCTATAACTCCTATTCTTCTATTTAAATAGAATAAGAAACATTTTGCTATTGCTGTTCCCTATTCATACCTTTTTGTTTGTGAAATTGGTGGTTTCTTTGGTAGAAAGCTGAAAACTAATTTATCCCTCTGCTAGATTTCCATAGTTTACTATGAATCTGCAGCAGCTGAATTGTGTTTTTCTATGTAGAGAAGGAGGCTAATTTGAGTTCATGAATCAAAAACACTCTCCAATGGGAAAATAGACCACCCAAAGCTCAACAAAATTAGGGAACTGCAAAGAAATCAACAGTTTTACTCTGGCTTCAAAAAGCTGCATTGCAGCAAGAAAAATCAATTCAGCTTTCAAAACTACCTTATACTATATTTGCATTGACTGTAGTTGTTTCTAAACCAGCACAAATGCTATCCATCTAGCCTATCAATGCCATAGAGATTATTGTGAAACTGAAAGGGAGATGGCCCAAGATATTATAATTATATGATAAGCCTAATAAAATTAAAATGTATGGGCTTTCACTAGATTGGAGATTGTAGAATTGCTGAATTCTTCATTTTGATAAATACCATTTTTCAAAGCCTATTTAGAATTCTTTTTGTCTTCTTTAATATTCAAACAATTTTCTAGAATGGCCCAAGAAACATTTTATCAATGGATATGATGAATGTCTTCTCTTGAGCAAATTTAACTGAAACACTCCAGAGGCAGCTTTGGAATCAAGGATGTTTTTCTCCCCCTCCCTCCTAATTTGCAGACTCAAAATAGTTTTCTGACATACTTCCTAAACTATGTCAGAATAACCCTTCTCTGATCCTGGGTGCACTTGCATCCTAATCATTTGGGGAGGTGTTATTGGAGAATTACAAGACTACTGCTTATATCTGAAAGAGGCAGACTTTTCCAACACCTTGTTAATACAGGCAAGTCTCAGCTTGTTGATTACAAAGAGAGGCAGCATGCACAATCCAGATGAAGTGGTATTACTCCAGACTAAAGCCTGGCTTACTGGTTCAGGTAAATAGCATTAATTAGAGGAAGTAGGAAGCTGTTCTGAATCCTTTCTATATTCTGGATCTGACAATCATTAATATTTCCATTAATAACTCAGAAGGAATACCTATCAAATTTGCCAGATCTGAGTGAAATGCCTAGATTCTTAGGGAAAAGAAACCAGATGCCCAAATATAGGATGGAGATACAAGCTTTGGAAATATTGCGTGTGAATATTGTCAGGTGCAAACAACCGAAGTAGCTCAAGGCTTAGATGAAGAGGTTTCTTTATTGTTGACTCGACTGTACACAAGAATCTTGCAAGACTGCCTGCTTTCTCCTTAGAAAGCCAGATATAGACAAGTGTTTGACTTCATACGCATCCTTCCACCTAATAGAGTCCAACCTGAAATGTATCTTAACTCCCCCCACCAAGACCTCCTTCCTTTTAGCTATTGATTTCACTACATCATGTTCCTGAAACTGTAGTTGATTCCACAAACTAACATAAGTTAGCAATGACTATTACAAATGCATATGTAATGTTTACTATATCAGTAGAGAGACTGTTTCCAAATCACTGAAAGCAATAGTCCCTCTCTTTTCTCCATTGGCCAGAACTCATATTGATATCTATACCTTTAAAAAAAGATTTAGAGAAACTTGTGCAAAGAAGAGCATAAGGATGCTTGAGGGATTAAAACCCAAATCTTAATGATTAAACCTATAGGCAACTGAGCATCTCTGATTTCTAAGGTAGGTATAGCAACCTGATGGTATTATTTGTCCTTAGGCAATTCTATCCTCTCTCCCCCCCCCCCCCGCCAATTGTATTTTAATTATATTTAAATATATTATCATTTAAATAACATAAAAGAAATTAGCATATAGTGAAGCAACACACCAGCTTGTACAACTAGTTTTACTTCCAAGAACAGATACTGAGGGAAGAGGAAAGGAGATGTTGCCTGGGAAGCAATAGGAAACAATTGAACAACAAAGGAGGGAGCCCACAGTTGCTTAATAGCAGAGAACAAACAGGAAAGACACCCCCCACCCCCACGGGCCAAGTAGCTGCAGAAGACTTTTAGACTTGCAAGATTCTGTTAATGTATCCTTACAATAAAATAGAATTGGCTCAGCTGGCCATGTTTCTTCTCTGATGTA